ATGACAGATGCTCTCCATTTAAAGAGGTAAATGCAAAACTATAAGAGAAATAACTTTTCAACACAAGAGCCTGGAGGCCCTTGAGGATAGATGATGCCAGAAAAATGTGAGATTATTGTGGCTGCCAGAGTATATTAATACTATAAATATAGATGATTTCCTGAGGAAAAAATCCTTGAAAATGTACCAAATGTATGATGCTGAATATCAAGTTAAACAGCCAAGACACAGAGTGCCAACTAAACATAGATTTCCTGCCCTTCCTTCCACAGTGTGCCTGAATGTCTCATAGCACCTGGGTTTCAACTGGGTGCCAGACTGCATCCATTAATTTTTTCCATACTTTCTTCTCTTTTTAGATTTTGCATTATCATTAATCTTATAGCCATTCAGTAATTCAAGGGCTGAATGACCAAGTTTATTTGTTTATTCAACAGATATTTATTAAACAATTCTGAAGTCCCAGGCACAGTTCTAGCCATTTAGTACATACTGGTGAATAGAAAAGAATATATGACACTGATGACATCCTCTAGCTTATGTTACAGTGGAGGCAGGTAAACATTAAGTATAGCAAATGAATACATTATATATTGTGTTAGAAGTTCCTATGGAAAGCAAGTAAGATCTTGTAAGGAGGAAGGGTCAGGATTATAGTGCGTGATGGTGGGAAAGAGGAATGGCAGTTTTAAATTGGGTGATCAGGTGGGCTGAAATTGAACAAAACTCAATTCTACTTCTGGTTTCTCTCTCTCTCTCTGTCTTTCTCTCTCTCTCTCTGTCTCTCTCTCTCCCTCTGTCTCTCTCTCTCTCTCCCCCGTGTCTCTCTCTCTCTCTCTCTCTCTCTCTCTCTCTCTCTCTCTTGCCTGCATTAAATTCTTCTTATTATTCAGTGTCCACTTCAAATGCTATCTCTTCTGTGATTCTGACTTTGTCAATATCCCTTAAGCATTTACCCTTTTACATTCCCCAGCAGCCGAGTGTGTTGCTCCTCTGAGTTGTGGACAAGTGTAAAGCACATTTATGTGTGGTCTGGGAAAAGTCCTCACAGAAAGTGCTTGAATTCCCACTTGTCTGCCTTTGGACAGTCCCCAAAGCAATACCTGACTAGCAAGAAAGCTTCAACATATCGAGGTTTAACATCATCCCTAGAAATAACATTTAAGTAAAAAGAAAGAGGAGTGGGTAGGCAAGTACCCCCTTTTACATTCCCTGGTGGAGAAATGTTGACTTGTACACCAGACCATTCCTAATGAGTTCCCAGTGGGAGTAGGCATGGGTTGCCAGTTGTAGTTTCTGTATCTTAATGTAAACTTTGTTAGCATTCTGTCCATCTCTGGATTGCTTTTTGCTCTCATGTTTGTGCTTACTGCATTTGGTTTGTAAATAACTTTCTGTGTCCAGGTCCTTTAGGGTATCATACATTCATTTTGGAGTTTCTTATTGTCTTATTAGATTTATTCTTTGTATTATACAATTTGTGGGCATTTGCTTCTTTTGTCCATTCCATAATTTATGTCTTTAAAATTCCATATGACCAAATATACTTTTTGATCCTTAACCCAAAATGGTAGGACACTGTACATTTGATGAAGGTGACCTGTGTTTAGTTAACTGATTACCAGGGTTCACATTTGACTTTGTCATTAATAACTGTTTCAATGAGTACTATGCTGCACCTCTGAATTCTCAGAAAACTGTAGATTGTCATTAATAACTGTTTCAATGAGTACTATGCTGCACCTCTGAATTCTCAGAAAACTGTAGATATAAATACCCACCTTGAGATTTCTGAGGACAGTGTAGCAAGCTCTGACTATGATACCTGTCACGTTAGCTACGCCGTCAGTGTAAGTCCTTTCCTGCCTCTGCATCAACTTCTCTTGCTAAATCCAGTTCTATGAAGTCAAGGAACTAGAACAGGAATAGTAGCATTTCAAGTCGGATTGAAATATTATCATGCTTAAGCAGATGTATTTTATCTGAGAAAGAGTATAACCATAAATTGATAACTGTTTTTGTCTTTTTCCCCATTCCTTTCAATTCAAGAAATAATGAAGTTTTCAATTTGGTGTCATATGTGGGGAGTTTCCATTTATCTCTATAACATGTGTGCTCTACATTGCAGAAAAGCACTTCCAACAAATCTGCTGCAGCCAGCTAGTTACCGAGGGCAGATGTGTGAGAGAGAAGTGCCATAGTATTTAAAGCTTGTGTTTGCCAACTAAAAATTATGCTGATCATGAGACTCATTGTGTTCTCTATTTTATATTTTGAAAGTTTTTCCAGGTTAGTAAAACAGTCCTTCTAAATGGAGTGTTTTCAAATTGTAGCAAATAATTACAGTTGTGAAATAATTTCAAAATATCAATTTAATGACCACTGAATGTAAAATCTTCTAGGTTGAGTGTTTAGAGAAAACCAAGAAGAGTAACTATAGGAGGAAGATTTAGAATTGTACATTAAAATCTACAATAGGGTCAAGTCAGTGTCATGACAAAAATGTGAATTTAGTGCAGCATAGGTTTAAAAGAAGGTTAAGATCTATTTCAGGAATTGGTAAACCTTCATGAGGAGATAAAGTCTCAGAGTGTGGATCTGAAGGTTTTAGCACACAGAAATGATCAGAGAGTAGTTCTGAGATGAAGGATATCCTTTCAAAAAGCTGTTGTTATGGGAAATAAAAGAACATTTTAATACAAATTGTGTTCTCCCAGTTTGGCTCAGAAATGAAGTATGTTGAAATAGTAAAAGTACCTAAAAGGTCCCTTTTAGGTAAAGGGGGGGGGGAGTCCATAGGTGAGAGGATGAGAGAGAGAGAGAGAGAGAGAGAGAGAGAGAGAGAGAGAGAGAGAGATTGCATTTAGTTAGCTTTAAATTGGAACATTTTCAAGAGCAAATAACTGAAATCTGTTCCTTAACTCATTTAAACAATATGGAAAACATATTATCTTACCAAACAGAAGAGTATTTTGATTTTGGATGCAGAATACCCTCAGATTTGCAGGAGTATTTTAATGATATAATCAAAGAGCCAAATTCTTTTCTTTTTGTTGTTTTTATTTTTACTAAAGCTAGGATATCAGCTTCATCCTCTGCTAGCTTCACTTCATGATGGCAAGCTGGCTACTAAAGTTCCAAGCATCAAATGAAGGCCAGATATTAACTCACAGAAGATAGGAATCATCTTCATGTATGTACAGAAACATTGTTTATAAACCTCTGTCATTGAAGCAGACTACATGTCACATTTCACAGGACTCCAGTCATGTGCTTTTTTCTAAATCAGATGCCGTAAAAGAAATAGAATGTCTGTATTGATTAAAGAAATTTGTGTCACTAAATAGTGCTGAGAAGAACCAAGTGCTGGGGGAGAAAATGTTTTCTTTCAAAAAGAGGAAAAATTATGATTATTGATTAGAAAATCAACAGCCCTTGTGAAAGTTAGAATTCCCATGCATCCCAGCTTGTCTGGAAAATTCTAGTGATAAAGATTGGATTGTCCCAATATAGTAAATAATAGTGATCTTTCTGTTTTCAGAAGTGTGCCCATTTGGACAATAAATTATATGGCTACTACAACTAACAGGTGCAGTCAGACTTCTAATGATTAGAGTAGAAGAGCTGTGATGCAGAGTGATCCATTAGTAAGGTTATCAAAAGCATCTGGGGTGGGAATAAGAAGAAAGACAAAGAATTCTTATGCAGGTGGAGATTTGAAATTTGGCATCGGTTGATATATGATTTACAGTAAGGACAGTACCTACTTAAATGTGTATGACTGAGAATAACACTACACTAATGGAAACAGTGAAGTCAGAATCTCAGTTCAGAAGGTAGAAGATTAATTTCAGTTCTGACATGCCTTTATTTCTGTTGAGAAAATTATGGGGAAGTATTTAGAAAGTAGATTGAAGGTTTTCCACAGGCTTTGTAATAATTTGATTATCACAGATAACCCAGTTACAATGGCTTGGACTTAGAAGTCCCTTCAAGGTCTCAAGTCATTGTAAGTGGGGTTCTTTGGAGGTGGATGTATTTAGGGGATGTGATGCTGGGATCAAGCATATGATGCTGGGACTGATCCATGGTGAGATGTGGGGATTAAAGACATGAGTGACACCTTCGCTAAGGGCAGGTAGTCTGGATAAAATATAAGAGACAAAGGGGAACTCACTTGTCACTTGCTTCCTTCTGGCTTCTGCCTGCCCTAAACTGATTCTTTTCTGCAATGTACTTCTGCTATGCCACCTTGCTTTGGAGCCAGACAACTATGAACTGAAATCCCTACAAACTGTGAGCTACAGTAAACCAACCTTTCCTCCTTTTACTTTGGGTGTTGGATATTTTTTCTCAATAACAAGAGAAGTAACTAAAGATAACAGTAGAAATAAATCAATAAGATTTCAATTTGCCATCTTAGTAACAATAATTAGTGTCAGGACATTTTAAGAGTTGAAGGGTCAGTAATAAACTAACCAGTGTAAGTTCTTGATTTTTTGGAACTAATAAAATCAAAGCAAGCAAAAAAATTCATTTTTTGGTATATTTTGATTGAATGTTACAGAAGAAAAATTTGGTGAGCAGGAAAGATTCTTCCAATGAGGAGACACTTGAGCAAAAACAGAAGAAAATAAGCCCTCTAGATGTTCAAGCAAAATGATCTAGTCTGAGGGTCAGCAGGTTACCAGTGAGGTCAGTGTGTCCAGCACCCAGTGAATGCAGACCACAGAGAAGGGTAGCAAGGTTAGACAAGTAATCAGATGCCAGATGGACAGATTTATGGGTCTTGGTGATTAAAGTTTGCATTGAATGAAGCAGAGCAAGACGATTTCTCTTTTTGGTGGTAGTGTTAGTATTAAACCCTGGGCTCCATGCCTCCTAGGCAAGTGGACTATCCCTGAGCTGCCACTCTAACCCTTTCATTAAAATTTTATTTTGAGACAGTGTCTCACTAAATTAGTCAGGCTGCCTTTAAATTTGTGATCTTCTTGCCTCAGCCTTCCAGGTCGCTGGGATCATCAGTGTGTACCACCACCTGGGGCCATGAGACTTTTAGTGACCATGAGTGGAGAATAGATTATTGGGAGGCAAAGACTATATACTTTGAAACAGAGATTTGCTACTGGAGATGCTAATGGATGGTAAGATTCAGCATGCATTTTGTTGTACAATCAAAAAACATTTGCTAATGGATTTGATGTAGGGTATAAAACAAGGGAAGAGTTAACGACAACAACAAACAACCAACCCCAAGATTTTGCCAGCACATAGGAAGCTTCTTGGAAATGCCTATTTCTGGTGGATAAGAAGCAATATATTCAATGTCAGATTGTGAAGTTTTAGATGCTCAGATACTTACTGGAGTGAAGATGTTCACAAGGAAATTTACTAGATGGAATCTGAAATTTGTTAGAAAAGTTGAGACTTAAGGTATAGACTCTAAGTTCATGAACAGGCAAATGGCTTTGCAAATCATGGGCCTGGCTGAGATTCCATGGAGAATAAGTATAGATTAAAAATAAAAATAAAAGTTCTAAGAATTAAGAACCTTGAGGTATTTCAAGATCAAAAGTTAAAAAGATGATTTTACAAGGCAGGAAAATTAACACAAAATTTTCCTGAGTCAGTAATGTAGTGATAAGTGTTTAATGAATAGCTCTTTAAAATTAAGATCATTTATTTGCAGTGGTTGCTATTTTTTGATGTGACTATTTTTACCATTCCAATTTTAAGCTACTACTTATTTAATAATAGACTTGAAATTTTCAAAGAAATAATAGTTGACTTTTGCAAAGTGGGCTCCAGTGTACTAGGAAGATGGCCTGGTAAATGATGTCAAATTGTACTGATAGAATGAACAAGAAAAAGATTTTATAGTGACAATTGGATTGGTAAAAAGAAAATCAATCGATGAACTTGATCTATATATAGATAAGTAGATTAATCTACTATATATAGATGAAGTAATCAAGTAGATTAATCTACTTGATCTATATGTAGAATATAACAAATGAAAAAGGTGCTCTAAAGGGTGTTTTTGTGAAGCGAGCTATGCTGTTTAGTGAAGATGGTCAAATTTTTCACTGAGAAACAAGTATTTGAGGAGTGAAACATTAACCACACAAAGAATAAGAGAATTTTATAGAAAATAAAATGCCCTTATCAGGAGTGAGTTCGGTAGCTTCAGGAGAAGAAGAAAGACCCGTGTGACGTAAGTCTAGTGAGCAGGGTGTGAAATGGCTGGAAATGAGCTAAGAGATGGAAACAAGATGCTGTACTTCTTGTAGGTCACCAGACAGTCTCTATTCATCATAAATTAAGTGGAATTACATAAAAGAGCTTCAAACAGAAGAGTCTCATAATCTGATTGAGATTTTACTCAAGATTGCTGGTTATTTGGTAGAGAATGCATTCAAGAGTAGAGGGAAAATAAGGAAGTTTGGTGACCCAGCGAGATAATTATTTTAGGTATCCAGACAAGAGATGAGTGGATGCAAGGGAGAAAGGAGAAGAGGCTAATTTAAAAGTTGACAGTATTTGCTGAGTGTAGTATAGGAACAAGAAGGAAGATAAAGGTAAATAATATTTAGATTTGTGACTTGAAGACAGGTAGATGGCTGTACCATTTACTGAATCAGGACAGGTGAAAGGAGAAAGCACATTTCAATGTTTTGTATATTAAATGGATTTAAATATAATGAGGCCAAATCAGCATTAGTCAGGCTTCTCAATGTTGAGAACAATTACCTGACATCCACAATTTAAAGAAGGAGTGATTAAGGCTTACAGTTTCAGAGGACTGAGTCCATGGCTGCTGTCTTTAATTCAGTAACATGATTGAAGGGCTGATAAAGCAAAGATACTTCTTAGTTCTTGGTGATCAGGACACAGAGCAAGGAAACAGTGCCACAGACAAAAGGGCAAGAGACCAGATACAGACCCCAAGTCACTCCTCCAGCAGCCTCCAGCAGATACACTAAGAAATGAGCTTAATTAATTCCCTACGTGGCTCTCAGGTCAATCAGATTGACAAAACTAAGCTTAATGATTGCACCCACAAAGATTTGGACTATATCTATGTACTGGGGAATTGTTGGCACATATATCATGTTTAATCATGGGAGTTGATGAGATTACTTAGGGAAAAAGTTTAGAAAGACAGTAAGATGTAGAATGGGAAAGGAGAAAAGACTACATAGAAAGGAGAAATATTAATATAGTGTGGCATTTTAGTTGCCAAGAAAGAAGAGTATTCCATGAATGAATAGTGCATGTTGAAGGTCCATTGAGACCAGAAAATGTAGAGATCTATTGGAGACGCTAAAGAGGCTGGTTTTGTAGTAACAGCTGGAGTGAGAAGTAAACAGAATTGAAGAGTGAACAACTGGGAGAAAAGTGTATTGCTAGTGAGTCGAAAGGAATTTGGTGAGGAATGGTAACAATGAAATGGGGAATGGCCAAAGAGAGTATCAGAAAATATTGTTTAAGGTGGGCAATGATGGACAGTGTTTGTATCTTTAATGGGAAACATTCAATAGAGAAGGAAAAACTTACGATGAGGGAAGGGGACAATAATCAGAAAAATACCCTGAAAAAGTGAATGACAAATTGAGACGCAAATACACACAAAAAAGTTCCCTTAGCTGAGTGCTGTAGGGAGAAATCTTCCCCAGGGCATCTGAGGGGCAGGAGAAGGTGAGTTCAAAATCAGGAAGGTTTATTGGTTTGGTGATAGATCAAGGATTTCCTATGCTACAATTTATAATTTATTTGTGAAGTATGAAGCAAAATCATCATCATAAAATGGTTGACTGGTATGAAATGCAAAAAAATGAATACATGAGAAGAAAATAGAAAAGTAAACTTTTCAGATAAATGTAGCAGCATTATAGTGTGTTAGTCAGTGTCTATTATGAGCTGATGATCAGAGTGTTCATGATTTAAAATGACACTAATGACATCAATTTTCCCAGTTGTGTGATTTTTCTCAGTAATTTTCATTACAGTATGATTAGAAATTTAAATTATATCCTGAAAGTACACATCAAAATAAATTTTATAATGCTTAAATAGGTAAACATTATCAATTTTTATCTTACTAGCTCTTACTGAGCACCTGCTATTTAGACACTAAATATTCTAAAGCATTAAAGATTCAAAAGAGAAATCATACTCCCTGCTGTGAGAAACTCACAATAGAGCACCCTGAAGATATTTTCAGAATAACTATAATCTCCTTCTATCAACATTTGAGAGCATGTGGCAAAACTCACGTAAACATAGGTTTAAGTTGCATATGTGAGTTTGAAGAATTCATAACAAGCCCATGGCATTTATTTTCATTGTCATCTAACACAGCAGCATTATCTGATATTTTATCAATCAATGCAAGCTAGAATTTCTGATGTTCCACTCCCTTTCTACACATTAATATTGGATATATGCATCTAAAATGATTGTCAAGACAGTCTGATATCTGGTATCTTTCAAAAGTGAAATGCATGTGTCTTACAAATTTTACTTAACATATGAAAGATATAACAGTATAATATATGAAACATACTTTGCCAATGACTCATTATCTCATTCAAAAATCATACACATGGAAAGTAGATGCCAGGATTACCAGTTTTTCCAGATGAAATTGAGTCTAAACAGATAAATAGCTGGAGACCATGGCTTGTACCTGATGAAACTTAGGAGGTTTTTGAAATCAAATCTGTTTTTAAGAGATGCTTCTATAATTCTATTTTTGGAATTATTTTAAGTATTCTAATTTTTAAAAATTAATTTTATTGGTGCATTTTAGATATGCATAATGATCACATTCATCATAGGGAATTTGTACCTGTACACAATATATCTTGATTCTTCTTTTTGTCCAAATCCCCTCCTTTCTCTTTAATCCTCTTCCCCTATTTTTTTGGAAAATTTGTTTCCATTTTTCCTTCTATTCTCTATTTTTTTCTTTTCCCTTCCTTCTTTTTGCCCTCCTCCTTCCTTGTTCTCCTTTCCATTTGAACATTTTCTTTCTATATCTCAGTATTTCTATATCTATATTTTGGTCCTTATTTACCCTTTTGGTTTCTCACACCAGAGAAACAATGCAATTAAATATTCTAATGTTATTACATGTACTAACATTCCACTATCACTGTCATCCCATACCAAGATAGGCAGAGCATTTTTGCACATCTGAAAATTGTGAAGTCTTTGGATATATCTATTATGAAAAAAATTGCCATATTACCTCCAAATACATTTTTATTTTCTGTTTATCCTCATCAGATTGAATTTACTGTGCACTCTCCCTTAGAATTTCTGAGGTAAGCATCATGCTTTATTTCTCCATTTCCTGGTTCAGTGTCTGGAAGAGAGTTGGACTCTGTTTATCTGAACCAAAGTTTAGATACAATGTCCTGAGCAGTTTGTTGACACTGAAGTGAGAATATGGGGTCATGACTCTAGCTTGGTTGTCTTGGATACTTTTCTCTTGTTGCGGAGACAAAATACTTGATGCCCAAAATGAAAGAAGGAAAGGTTTATTTAACTCACAGTTCATGAAGGTTTTAGTATATGTGCAGCTGGCTCCAAGACAGGATCGCATGGCTACGGGGCAGCCATTCATGGCAGCTGAAAGCAATAAGAGCTAAAAGGGCAAAAAAAGAAAATGTTCACCTCCTTTTCTTCCGTATATGGTATGCTGCCTACCTCCCCAGGGTGGGGATAGCACTCACACGGGCAATCCCAATGCTAGACAAGAAGCCAATCTAGAAGTACTAGACTGAGCCACCTCCATGACGGCATGAGGCTTTGGGAGACACAAACCATAGTTTGGAGTTTTCATTCACAAATATTCAATATTCAAATCAGGCTTTGCTGAGAAGCAATGCTCAGGAAAAGACTATGTCTTTCACTTTGATCTATAATAGATGCTTGCGCATACAAGAACTTGCACTTATTTTTTCCTTTTAGGCTTAATATATAAGTTTTAAATGAGAAAATATCTATGTGTATTGTAAAATAGCCCAGAAGTCTGCTCATTATAAAGAAAATGTTGAATATTATTAATAATTATTAATGTCAGAGTATTAATACTATAGTAACACTATAGTACTGTTAGTCATTACTACTGTAATCATTTTACATGATCTCTTTGAAATCAAGACTTGTGTCTTATAAATCTATATACCCTTGATAATATATTTAAGTCCAAAATAGGCAGTGAATCAAACAAGAATCTTAAAATGTGATATCATTTTTCTAACTGCTTGATGTGGTTTTTCTAGCCTTTTATGGAAATCACAGAGAAAATTCTGCAAAACTGTGGTTAATTAATAACAAGGTACGTATTTAAATCACACACATTTAAATCAATTGATTCTTCATACAACTGCTGGTAAATGACAGTACACATAGTCATTCTCAATATAAACTAATTTGAAAAGGTAATTTTCTAATTAATAAATATACACCAATATTAGTGTGATTTTGAGATAAAGTAATTAAGATAGCTGTTGACAACTTCAGAAAAAAAGAAAAGAAAGAATTTTGTTAGTGGCAAGACCTAATAAAAAAATCTGATGGACTCAAGTAGAAAAGCTGACATGCACAATTCCCCATAGAAGACCAATTTGTTACTGATGATGAAATTCAGAAATAACCAGAATAGGAGTTGTGAAATTCATAGCGAATGCCTGTAGGGTAAAATTAATTTCTTTATATCACAGTTTAAAGGCAAACAAAAGGAAATTGCTTATGCCAGATGGGATAGGAAAGGCATTGTGAATAAAAATGAGCATCTCTTTTCTGCTTACAAATATTTGAATTAAGATGGTACGAGCATGTCTGGTTAATAGAAAAACAGTATTGATGGTCGCAACACTTTTAGAGATTTTCTCATTCTTTCTAAATGGACTTCATCAACACAACAAAGTACTTTAAGCCATATATTAAGCATGACACTACCACAGCATAGTTTATTCTCCTTGAATTACTGTTTAGGGCCAAACACAAAAAAGACAAGGGATAGGCACTTGGTCTGTAGTCAGAGAACCGGCTGTGTAATTTGTCTTCAGGCTCTGCCACTGGCAAAAGGAGACTAAGCAGGTCACCATGTCCCTGAGCGACAGTGTCTTCCTTAGTAAAATAAAAACAGATACAGCGTGCCTTTATCCTCCAAATTCTATGAGGATTTAATAAAGTAATGATATTGGCTATTTCTTGTAAACCATAAAGTATATGCATGTAAACTTTTGATTTTGGGTTTTTTTTTTTTTCTGGAAATTATCTCTAATTTTCTGCCTTATTTTATCTGATCTGTTGGTTCACAGCTGCTGGCCAGCTTCCTATGATCTCATGCATTTTTATGCATAACAATTCAAACCTAATCATGGAGGATGCAGTTGAGGGTGATCTCTCTTTTCTCTAAGGACTTTATTTAGCACTTACGATGCTCTATTTACTTTATGTCCATATGCCCTATCCACTTGGCTGTAACATAAACTCTTGTAGAATAACGCTGATTCTAACAGTACTACTACTAATAGCTAACATTTGTTTATTATATGCCAGGTCCTGTGCATAGCATTTTAAATTGACTGTCACATTCTAGAAATAGAAAATACATCATATTTTTCAGTAAAGGTCATATCATGTAACTGTTATATTAACATTTTACACTAACATCTACCACTAAATAAAATAAGAGAATAAAAGATATAGAAATTCAAATTTGTATAGTGTAAACATTTGTCCTACTATTTAATTCAGTGAACTTACGTATAGTGTAAGAGTGAGACCGGAGAGGTTAATCAGTTCTTTCCCCAAGTTAAATTAATTGTTAAATATTGGTGGCAGCCCTGCCAGCTGGGGAAAATCAGGAAGAAAGGTACACAACCACCCGTGTGCCAGCGGCAGCCCCGCAGGTCAGGGAGAACTAGGAAGGAGGCCAAGCACACTCCCAGGACAGCTGGCATACTGGGTGGGAGAGAAGGAACCCCACCCTCCTTAAGCAACCCGCTAATTCAGAGGAACACAGATTGAGAGGATAACAGCTGAAGTAAAGAAACAACATAACGCTTGTATTGTTTGATTGACTTTGCCAGCCTAAATCCGAAAGTCTGAACAACTACTTAGAGGATAAGCATATACAATATAGCAACTGCTGTGGATTTCCTTCTGTCTTACCAGTGTTTTGTTTTGTTTTATTATTCTGTTTTATTCCCTTTAAAATAAAAAATTCTTAAATATTTCACGTAGAGTGAGCCTCTAGCTATGAAAAATATTGTGTAAAGACAGATATTAGTGGAAGAAAATAGAGGGTAAATGCAGACTAAAGAAAGTTTTGATGTTGGAGGAAAAAGCATTGTATCATACTTATTAAGCAAGGGTGAAATGTCTCTGATATAAAACCCTCCAGGCATTTTTGAGGATAACTTGAACCTATGCAGTTTTTGCCACATATGAAGTGAGAAAAAGACAGACTGAAGATGCAGTGGAGAAAGGGCCTCTAAAAGTAGAGATGGTAGTGAGAGGGACCTGCTAAACTGTTAGTAGGATGGGAGAGTGGAAAGTAAATGAGCACCAACCCTATTACCACTGTGGCCGGAATCTCTTTACTCACTGGCATAGAATCTGCTGACGGATCTTTGCTGTACTTGGCCAGTGCTAGAAGATGAAGTTCAGTCACTGTGTACAGGTGTGGCCATATAGATTGTTGGTTTGAGCAGAAAGAGAAATAGGTGCAGTGGTGAATTATAGGATAGAATAGAAAAGTAAATGAATTAGGAAAATGTTGTATTGGTTTATTAAACAATGGTAAAAATCGGTTACGCACTTGTGATTCACTGTATGATATAACACATTATCAACATTGTACTTTTATCATAATATGTTTATCTGTTTAAGTGCAGAGGAAGTATGTAGAGGGGTAACATTTTTCAGAAAAGATGAAGGGAAAGGAGGTGAGGGCATATGGGAAGGCATTATTTTGGTGCAAAGCTGTGGAATAATATCTAAGTATTAAGAAGAACATGAGAATGTGGGTTGGAGTGTGAACTCTGCACAATGGTAAAGTCAAATTAATGCAGTGTAAATTCTGGAGTAGTCAGATGATCCTGAAGTGGAGAGTACAAAGACTTTGCCAACAGTCTTTCCTTGAATAGGACACTAGAAATAATAATAAAAAAAAATCCAACAACTACTGGAGTTTATCTTTCAAAAATTGATAGTGACAAACTATAGGGTGTGATCAATGACAGTGAATGGCTAAGGTTGGGTAGATGAAAAATGTTTATTCTTATGACTATGATTCTTGTGCTCCAACACTTCTGCCCAGAAATAAATTTTGGTGAGTCATAAAACAACATTTTAACCAACTGTCTGTTTGGAATCTGGAGGAAACACTTCACAGTAGTTACCAAAGTACAAATTAACTCTTTACACCAATCTTATCGACCATCAGTGCTGGTGTGTCTGTCCACTGGCATAGAAGCTAGATTATCACACAAATCTTCAGGTCTGATTCTCTGCTCTGTACTAATGGTTGCTATTTAGTCAATGTGTATAGGTATGATTGTATCAGTTTGTTTTAAACAAAACAAAACAATAAAGACTAAAAACATTGGGACAAGATTTCAAATCAACATAATAGGAGATTAGAAATGGTTATTATGTTGTATATTGTTATCTTCAAAGTAGTTGCTCAGATTGTAAGATACAGGTATGAAACTATGATCAAACAATGAAAGCACAAACCATTCTTTTGATGAACTAACAGAGATTAGCGATATGATTATCTGTCATATATAATATTGTACATTATAGATAAATATATATAATTTTTCCCTTTTTTCTTTTCTCCTTCCCCCCATCCCAGTTGTTCTTTCCTTTTGAACAATTTCCTTCCCTTTCACAAATCTACTGAACGTTTTGGTAATGTTCACTCTTTCAGTTTCTTACACTAAGGAGATAATACAATGTTTTATACATGTGAGTTTGAGTTATTTCACTTATTAGTATGGTCTCAAGTCTTATCCATTAAAGCCTCAAGTTGATCCTTTTTTATAGCTGAGAAATATTCCACTGAATGAGAATACCATACCATCTTTTTTATCCATTCAGTGGTTGATGGACATTTGTGTTTGTGTTGTTTCCAAGATTTGGCTACTACAAAGTGTGCTGCTCTAAACATGGGTGCACATTGATTGCTTGGTATGATGTTTTCAACTCTTCTGGGAAAATACCCAGAAGAAGAATAGCTGGATGAAATGGGACTTCCAATTCTATTTTTGAGGAATCTCCACACTGATTCCCACAATATTTGTACCAATCTACTCTCCCATCAACAGTGAAGAAAGATTTCCTTTCTCCCACAGCCTCACCAGCATTTGTTATTAGTTGATTTCTTGACAATAGCCTTTCTTTCTGGAGTAAGATGGAATCTGAGTGTTGTTTTAAGTTGCATCTCTTGGATGACCAGTGATGTTGAGTGGTTTTTCATATATTTATTTGTCATTTGTATTTATTCATCCTAGAAGCATCATCTCTGATGTCCATTTTTGGATTGGGCCTTTAAATTTGAAGGGTCTGATTGTTTTTCAATTCTTTGTATGTTTTAGATAGAAGCCTTTTGTCTGAGGGACAGTTGGCTAAAATATTTTTTCCCATTCTGTGGGCTCTGTTGGTGATTTCTTTTGATGTACAAAAACTTTCTAATAAGATGAGATCCCAGTTGTTTATTCTTTGAAGTACTACATATCAGTTTTTAAAGTAAAGAAATAATGACATACACCTTGATAAATTATTGATATCTCAAAGTCTCTTCATTCCCATCAATTTAGCCAACCAAAGTCTCCCAGTGGGGCCATTTTTGGACTTTTCCAAGATACAAATAAGGCTTAAACTCTGGCCTTAAGACAGTTTCTAAGACATAAGATATTAATCCTAATATTTTTGCTCATGTGCTGTCTGCTCTGACTGAAAAATCAATTTTTTCAACAACCCAAATAGAAGCTCCTCATCGTTTGGCCTCTTCATTACCACTGTCACTGACTATAGTTCTTTGCCCCTTTCTTTTCAGCTCAGTTCTCCCACTCATATTTTAAATCCTACCATGCTACCTCTTTGTACCTGGGAAATAAAAAGTCTGCACAGTGGGATAAAGGGTCTGTGCCAGAAGGCTGAAGGGTCTGCACTGGAGCCAGGAAGTGACCCTCAAAGGACCAGAGCTCCTCCAGAGAGAATCACAGTCGTCCTCAGGGACGGCGAAGACTGGAGCTCCTCCAAGGATGTGAGAAGCTGAGTTCATATCAGGAAAACCAGTGTGACAGCTTCTTCTCCAGGAGGATCAACAGCACACCAGTTCTCCTTTTGTGTCTTGGCAGCAGTCTCAGCTGGGCTTTCCACACCGAAAGCTACACTGTTTCAGTTTATCTGTGTGTTACAAGTTGACCTTATTAATCCACCACACTTACAGTCACAGAATTGACCCCGTCACTGGTGCCAGTGTTTTGTGTGGGTCACTTCCCTGTCACTGGGATAAAATATCCAATATCTGAAACTTAAATGAGGACAGATTTATTTTGGATCACAGTTTCAGCAGGTTCAGTCCTTGGTGGGCTGTCCTCAAGGCAGAGACATCATAGTGGCAAGCCTGGCAGAGGAAAGTCACTTGTGTAATGCTGGCCGAGAATCAGAGAGCAGAGAGAGGAGCCAGGGGGAACACATCTGGTCACGCTCCCAGGGAACTGCCCCTTTTGTCTAGGCCTCACCTCCTAACAGCATATTCAGCTATGAACTTACCAACGGACTGTTCCACTGAGACCCAATCACTTTCAAAATTCCCATCTCAGGGCTGGGGATTTAGCTCAGCGACATAAGCACCTGCCTTGCAAGTGCACAGTCATGAATTTGATTCCCTGGTAGAAAAAAAAAAAATCCCCTTCTCTGACTATAAGAATTTGGGGGCCATTTTAGATGTTACCCGCAATGCCACTGACATCCGTCTTTCTGCCTCTGTCACCCAAATGAAACTGTCTTCATTGTGGTTACAATTTCCTAATCGCCAAATCCAACATTTCACTTTTAGTCTACTATGGTTTAGGTGTAGGATGTCAGACAAAGGCCAGGCATTAGGAGTTTGGTCTGTGCTTTGCTGTTATGCGGAGGTGGTAGAAACTAAAAGGGGGGTCAAGTAGGGATCTTCAGGTCATTAGAGCGGCACCTTTTAAGGGGCTGCTGAGAATTCATCCCTTTCCATTTCTCTCTTTTATTTTCTGGACTTGAAGTGAAGTCTTGCATTATGATAAGCTGCTTCATTGTACACCAAAATAACAGAGCCTATTTTTCATAGATTAAAGCCTTCAAAACTGAGTTGAGACAAATCTTTTCCCTGTATTAGTTGACTTATCGCAAGTGTTTGTTACAAAGTTAGAAAGCTGACTAAGCATTGTCCTTACATCATTTACACTTTGAGCAGCACATGCTTGTTGACTATCTCATCTTTCAGTTCTGCCTTCTTTTGGTTTTGGGGCCGTTAGTCTCACAAAGTTAACTTCATTTATCTGTTCCAACCTTTCTGTCTCTTATAGTTCTGTTAAAGCCCTAACTGTTGGTTTTCTTTATCACTTTTTTTCATCTCAAACTATGTATGATTTATTCTGTATTTTGGTCAGTAAATGCTTTCCATGTGCTGATGACTTTCAATTATATATTTTTCCTTTTCGTGTTCTACTTGATATCAGTTTTTTATGGCTTCTTTTTAATTTTTTTCTATTTTAACATTTTAATTTTTAAATTTAAAATTAAAAAATTAATTTTAGATGCCTCACAGATGCCTATTATTTCTTCAATATCCTCTTTAATTTCTATCTATCTATCTATCTATCTACCTATCTGTCCATGTGTGCTGAATAATCTATCAGGTCTCATAATTTTCACTCACCACAATTTTTCTTTTTTTCAGTAAATGATTGCATCTTCTTTGCATCCTCTGAAAAAAGAATTTAGGACCTGTGCTATATTTTTATATTGTACTCATTTCCTCCTATCTCACAGTATTCATTCAAAGAACTTAGAATTGTTGCTTTTAGGTTGCGAAATCTCAGCTGTATTATACGGAATACTCACCGATCACCTTGTTGACTATGTCAGCCATCTTCGCCATTTCTAATCCCATTCTGTAATTATAATTTCCAGGGTGACTTATTAATAGAAAGGTTATGATTCCTAACATATTGTAGGATTAAGGGAACATGAAGACCACAATCTGCACTTTGCATACCTTTCCCTCCTTACCACACAGTCCTCTCCCAGCTGCATCCCCATCCACTTACCAGTTTCCTATTCAGACATGTAGTTTCCACAGTGATCTCATGAGTCATGCTTACTTTGTCTTCCTTTTTGCAGGAGAATTCATTTAGCAGCTTCATCTTTGTTGCATGCTGAATAGGATTATTTTACTACATAGTGTTTTTAGAACTTAATTATTTGTTATGCAGGAAAAGAGAAAAGAAGAAAAAGAAAAAATATATACACAAAATATTTAAGATAGTTATACTACTAATTGTTATTAGTTCATTAAAAAGAAAGGTTTGTCCACTTCTGGGCATATTCCCAAAAGAACTGAAAACATGATACCACACTGATATATGTGCACCTATGTTTATAGCAGCACAATTTGTAATAGCCAGGTCTTGGAAAAAACCTAAATGTCCATCAACTGAGGAATGGATAAAAAAGATATGGTATTTTTGTACAATGGAGTCCTACTCAGCTATAAAGAATGACCACATTGAGGTAAAAATAAATGGACACCTTAGACCATACTCATAAGGGCAATAAATCAAACTCATATGTATAAATACTGTATAGTCTCCCTAGTGTAAGAAATGGTAAGAATACATAAGATTTTATGGGAATCATGGTTACCCATTATATTGCTTTGAAGTCTTATAATGTTTTCATTCATTGATTGGAATGATTTTATTCTGTTTTGCTTGATTTTATTATGTGTGATGGTATGAACTGCTACTTTGAAGAAAACAAGACATTATGGCAGCCATTGCTGATTTCCTACCATCTTGCTTTAAAGTCATACTATACTTTTGTTCTGTTATTTCCATTGGTTCTCTCATGTTGTGTCTTATTGAATTTTAACATGTGTGGTAGTATAAACAAATTTTTTATGGAAAATGAGATAATATAGTAGCCATTGTTCGTTTTCTGTTATTTGGGTTTCAGTGCCCTTTAATACTTTCATTCTCTTGAATGGTTTTATACTATTTTGTTAAGTTTGATATCATTGTGTGTGAAGGTATGCTCAACTATTTCAAAGAAAAGAGATATGGTAGCTACTGTTAATATATGGTTGTCTTGTTGTGAAGTGCTGTGTTGCTTACATTGTTCTGTTCTGATTTGCTTTGTTCTGTCCTCTTTTATTCTCTTTAAAAGAAAAAAAGAAAAGAAAGATTTGTTTGATCAATTTTTCTTTTTTTCCGTTTCTTGTAGTCAGGATTTTCTTTTTTTTAAATTTTATTTAAAAGGAAAAAGAGAAAAAACAAAACAAAACAAATCAAAACAAAACAAAACAGTGTAAGGGTACAAGTAATACAGAACTACAAAAAAAAAAAACACCCAGTAAATCACCAGTTAATAGATTACACATTATCATCTTAGAGATAGTTGCTCAAGTCACAGGATACAAAGTGGACATTCAGATAGTGAGACTGCAAATAATTGTGTTCAATGATCCAACAAAAACTCAGTAATATGGTCATGTATCCTAACACACCTAAACACACTTGCAGTTGTATTCTTTAGAGCACTTTTTCCCCCCTCTCTTTTTTACAACAAAATTTACAGATTTGGGGTTTTATTACTCCCATAGTTCTTATTACTTTTTTTTGGAAGAGAATAAAACCAAATATGACAAAACAAAGCTGTCAGTCAAAACCAAGGATAGACATAGCACATGATGTAAAAACAGAGTACAAGGTTATCAACAATGGTTACCATAATGCCTCTTGCTTCCTTAAATAGAATTGCCTATATCATTAGGTTTGATAAAGTTGAAAAAAAAAACAGTACAGAACAAGACCAATAAAACCTAAACATTGGAAACATTACAGGACTACAAAAGAAGATAATAGTCAAACCAGAATGGGCATCATAGTGAATCTTATTGCCTTCAAAGTAGTTGCCTATACCCTCAAACTTGATACTATCAAACAGAATGGAACAGAGTCTAAAATCAGTCAAAACAAGATAGTGGGAATTATACAGGACTTCAAATCAAGTACATAGGAAATCAAAAAAGTTACTATACTATATCCTGCTAATTTTTTGATTTTTTCCCCTTAATTAAAAATAATAAAAAATAACTAAATAATTTTTTTAATGAATAAGGGAGAGATTGAGTTAAAAGACAATAACAACATAACAATACAGGTCAAAGCATGACAATTTCAGCAACCTAGTGCTTTACCACTAAATAACCTGACTTAATAGTAATTACCGTAGTGTCTTTTTCCTTGAAATATTTGAATATAACTTCATATACTATAGCATCAAACATACCAAGACAGTGTAAAACCATTCAAGTGGATGAAAGTATTACAGGATATTTAGAACCAGCGAACAGAAAACGAACAATGGTTTCTGTATTATCTCTTTGCCTATAACAATTTTTGTTTATACTATCACATATAATAAAATCCAGCAAATACAACATGATAAAACCAATGGAGAGAGAAGAGCCATAGTTTGGTGGGGCTTCAAAACAAGATGATATTAAATCAGCACTAGCTGTTATGATGTCTTGTTTTCTTCAAACTAGCTATTCATTTCATCACAAGCAATAGTATCAAGCAGCCCAGAATAAAGCCATTCCAATTAATGAATGAAAACTTTATAAGGCTTCAAGGCCACATAATGGGAAATCATGATTACCACGTACTTTTATATGTTTGAATCATTTCTTACACTAGGGAAACTATTCGGTATTCACACCTGCGAGTTTGATTTATTTCACTTATGAGTATGGTCTAAAGCTGCGCCCATTTATTTATAAATATCTCAATGCGATCCTTCTTTATAGCTGAGTAGTACTCCATCATCTTGTTATATAAGCAACTACTTCAAAGTTAACAATATGCAATATACTATCAATTTACTCTCCTACAATCTTGTTTTGAAATTTTGTACCATTGTTTTATCTTTTCTTTAAAATAAAATAAAAAATTATATATGATTTTCTAGTACCTTCAAATAGATTACAAATTCCTGGAGAACCTAAATTGCATGTTACATTTAATTTTCAATTTCCTACAAAAACCTACCCTAGTTTTAGTAGGCACTTAAAAGTATTTGTTGAATGAATACTTAAATAGTCGAATAACACATCAAAAATATTTTTTAATGCATATCTAATTTTATGAATTGTTAATCACTGTTTCTAGTGACTGAGTTTAAGCATATAAATTCTAGATAAATAGGAAAATATTTTTAAAATCTTGAGAGCTTTCTTTCTTTCTTCCTTCCTTCCTTCCTTCCTTCCTTCCTTCCTTTCTTCCTTCCTTGGAAGAGCTAGGGATTTGGAAATTTAGATTCACTTCAGTGGCCTGGTACTTTTCAGGTATTATCTTGATGCTCTTCCTGAGTACTGTAGTGCATTTATTCATAAAATGTTGCTTACTACATTAGTAACCTAAATATTTGGATGGTTCTGAGTGAGTAAAACCTCTGTACAGTCCTGGGTAGGAGGGGAAACATATTTATTATTTAACCAAATCATGTAAAAAAGTGGAAATAAAAAATATTTTAAGTATTAGTGTGGAAATGAATACAATGTAATAAACACTCATAAAAGAGTTTGACCTGATGTTGGTTGTAGAGAAAGTGATACCTGACAGCTTAGCCTCTCTAAATCTCCATTACTTTCTCTCTAGCTTGGCAATAAGCCTTCAGTTCTGTAGAATACTTTTGTAGAGTTTGGGTAAAATACTATGTAAAAGGGCTTTGAGAGTACACAGTATCATTTTCATTGGATACAAGCCTCCTGTGTACATCATGCTTCCTTCTTTTCAAAATACAGTAGGGCTTTCCTGTGAGTAAATAAAGCCTCAAAATTCTTCCAATGTTGAATAAATACTTTGTTATTTTCTTTTTTTTTTCTTTGAACAAAAATAAATATCCTGCCCATGTCTTTCAAGTATTTAGTTTTCAGTTTACACTTTCAGTCTTTCAGAGGTGGATTCCAAGTCACTATCACGTAGATTTTTTTGGATGAATCTGCAAAAATGGAAAGTGAATTGATGGGTTCCATAAACCTTGGCAACACTGTTTGTGTTAGTCAGCCTTCTGTCACTATGACAAATACTGGAGATGACCTTTAAGCGAAGGTTTGTTTGGCACACAGGTTTGGGTTCATGATTTGGTGGATATGGCTTTGAGGGAGGAAATGCACCATGAAGGGAAGGGGTAGTGGAGCAGTTAGTGATTGTTTGGCATGTTACTCTGTGTAGTTTCCTGGTCACTCCATGTGGTTTCTTTAAATAGCAGCCCAGGGCTCTAAAGAGTCATGTCCTCGAGAGAGACGAAGTCCAATGATAGCACCTTAATGACTTACCCTTGTAAGTCTCATGGAATCCCATTCATCAGATGTTTGTCATTCATTTCAATATTTTGTCATTCTTATTGAGTTTATTGACACAATTGTTATTTCTTTAATTTTCAGTAGAGGGATTTAATTATAAGTGATACTTCCTTTAAATATTTTTAGATGCAATATATTTGAAAAGAATAACTGCTTATTTTTTAAACATTAACATTGTATTTGATATTAATGTTTAACATTTTTCATAATTCATTTTTACTGAAAGAATACACAAAATTTGAATGTCACAGTTAATTATCCTAATAGCTTTAGAGTCTAAATTAGAATGTCAGAAAGAATAGAATACTAAAAATACAATAGTAATTACTCTGCAGACATAGTAAATCATTTTAATTAATACTGTAAAGGCCTCACAATAAACATTGAAGCTTTAAATAATTCTTACATCTAAAGAAATTTAAACTTTCATTATTAAATCAGTTTTTACTACCAAACTAAGACAGACTAACAGAAAAATCTGAATGTTGAGGAGAACTAGAAAGTATTTTCTCACTTCAAAATTAGGTAAATTTTCTGTTTTCAGAAAAATGATGGATTTGGATCAAATAAGTACTAGTATAAAAAATCCATTTTTTCATTTTAAGGTTGGAATAAAAACTTCAATTTTGGGGGAAAATTTTATGGCTTGTTTTTGACCATGTTACACTTTTCTTGGCCTTGAGACTTAATAGAGTACAGTGTCAGGGAAATTTGATTTTTAAATGAAAGCAAGCAATTTTAAAATGCTTTTTTTCTTTTTTCTCACAAAGAGTAGTTTGAGCATGGACTTGGTGAAAGAGGTTGTGAGAAACTATAGTAATATGACTACATGAACCAGGATCACCAGTAGTTACGAGTCCTTGGGACCAGAAATGCCCCACTGGCTTTAGCTGTTAAGCATGAGGAAAATATCTTGTTTGGAATTACCATCACTTTCTTTTTGCATCACCTCAGCAAGTCTTACTTCTAATCGATGACCTTTGTAAGCTGGCGGTTCCTTCTTGCTGTTTTCCACTTGTTTCTTTTGTCTATCTTTCCCTCTTTCATCTTATTTTATCCATTTTTCTTTTGTCTGCTTTTTTCCTTTCTCCTCCCTTAAATAGCAATAATTCTTGTTAAATCATTCTGTAGCAATCAAAGATATATGTTTTATATTTCTTGTTCTTTTTAAAGTCGGCGTGTATAATATTTAGCATTTATTTTTCTTAACAACAAATACAAAAATATTCTGTCCCATGAATATTTTTGTTTTAGTCTCTGATGCACAGCTGAAGGATGTTACCCTCGAGTGAGTTTGTGCTTCATGATGGACTAGTGTTTTTCCATCCTGATTAAGGTCATACAAAGGTTCTGTTTATGCCCTTACACATTTTAACAAATCAATATCTTCTAAAGTTTATGATCGAACACTCTTGTGCCTCAAGGGTCTGTGATGGTGTGTGGAATCCTAAGATGTGAGTCACGGTGTGGTTATGGGAAGTCTGGTTAAGCACAAAATACAGAAGTCTCCACAAGTGGGAACTGACCTTTCATTTTTAGAAATTCATCCTTTTGTTTTGTTTCTGTTTTTGATACTGGGAGTCAAACTCAGGACCTTTTGCTTGCAAGGCAGTTACTTGTGCGACTTAGTTATATCTCTGGTCCTCTAGAAATTTATCCTTGTTTCCAAAATTTTTGTGAAGACTGAATTTTTACAAATAAACCTAGTTGTACGTGACTTATTTATAGAAGAAGATTTTATGCTTTTATTTGTTTAAAATAATTGTTATTATTTTAACATATAATAATAATTTATTTTCTAAACAATTTTCTATTCTTTTTTCCTCAATAATTAATTTCCTCAATAATTAATTTTGTACAAATTCTCATTTAATATTTTTTGAAAATATTAGTGAAACTTTTGATATCTTTAGAAAAGATTAAAATACTTTGCACAATATTCTACACGGCTCACTTTAAAATGGATTTTAAAAAAGGATTTTGGTTTGTAACAAATTCCTGTGCCTGAGAAATCCATTGAGGTGAGTAAAATGATGATTTCATTCCACAAAATGACTCTAGATTCTGATGTGTGTACTAATGTGTGTGTGTATGCATGTATCTCTCCAATCATGCAACCATTAAACCATTAAACCTATTACACAAACTTATATGCTAATTTTTTTCCTCTGTGCATCTCATTTAATTATTTAATCAGGGATTTAAAAAGAAAAAAAACTGCAAATGTATGCTGTTCTGAAAGTTCAGTAAATAAATCCCAATATACTGTGAAATACAGGGAAAGTTCTTAAAAGGCTTATCCTTATCTCTAGTGTATTTCTGATGCCTAAACATATTGAAACATATACATCGACTGCAAATGTTTGTTGTAGAAAAAGCACAGGGGAACATGCCCAGTAAATATTTAAAACTCTACATTACTGATGGCAAAACTTTTAGAGACTGAGTGCTCAAACTGCAGTGTAAAGCTCTCTTATTTATCACAAATTGCCAACACTGCAATTAAACCTCAGCATCCGATGATCTGCTGCTGCATGATGTGGGACAACTTGGCTCACATGCCCACAGAGATGGCTCTCCAAGTCCACTGTAGGACCCATGCCATAGGTTTGCCACCACTGCTCTGCATGAATTAATTTTCTTTGGATTTCCTTTGTATTATTATGACTTCTTTCACCGATTCCTGATTTTATGGGTTTGTTCGTCTAATTATGACGATGATAATGGGAAAATGAGAATTGTGAGTTCTTGGCATTTTCTCTGTTTATCTGAATAGAAAGTAGAAAGCAAGAACAAAAACACAACACAACAAAAGGTAACAAAATCTTCCATGATACAGAGTTGTTGAAGATTGCAATTTGGTTATCAAGCAAATCTCCGTTAAGACAAACATTAGCATAGCTATTTCTGTGTGATAAAGAATTATCCCCCACTTGGTCACAATCTCAGATCTTGATGGTATTCAGTTATTTATTTATTTAATTGATGTTACTGTTTTTACTTTGGCTTGCTCCTTGGGGTGAAGATTAAAAAAAAAAAAAGAGACACAAAGAACTATGAAACCGTGTCCTAACACTTCCATTGCCAATGAGAGGAGTTAGATCTCTCCTAATTACCTTTGCATACACCACTTTAATCTGAATAATCACCCCTTGTATTTAGTTTACTGCACATCTGTCTACGCCCATTTTCCCTTGAATCAGCACGTACAGATTATTGTATACATGGTAACATTTTAAATATGCAGATCAGATTATATTAGTCCTTGTTTAAACCTTCTCTGTGTCTGGGCTGTTAATTTAATTTTATTACTCTTTTAATGTTGCTCACTATGCTTTTGGTGAGCTTGTTATCCCTAAACAAATGCATTAGGCTCTGTCTTCCCTTGAGGCACCAACCGTTGTGGTTTTTGGTGCCTAGAATCTTCTCTGCTTACCTCTTCACCTCACTGGCTCCTTTTATTCTTTGAATTTCAGTTTACAGGCTTTTTCTTCACAGTTTTTGGAACTATTTTGTTGCATTTTCTAATGACATACTTTCCTTGAAAAATATACGAAGTTTCAGTGGTAAAATCATGAGAGTTAAGTGTATTTTTTGGGGGGTTCACTTCTTAACTTATAAATTCCAAGATATCTTTCTATCTTTTTATTACTGTATTCTGCTCTGACACAGGCAGGATGTACCTCCAACTAGCTCAAATCATACTTCTTTTTCTATGCCAACAAAACGCTAATAAATCTTTGTTCACATGTAATTTTATCCTGGAATATTCTTTCATTAGATATAAAATTTATCTTGCTGTCTGATAGTTCTTCCTTAGTTATATATATGAAACATTCTTAGCCATAGATCTCAGGTAATCTGCTTTTCCTAAAGAAGCATGTATTTCTCAGGTTCAAGGTAACTGGAAAATTTAAAGAGAAGCAAAACTCTTACATAGTTGAAACCAAAGGAATTGAATATGAGTAAAGCATTATGATCTAATTTATTCAAAGTTGTTTACTTTCCACATCATCAAAAAGAGGATTTAAAGTAGTCTGAAATAAAAACTAATGCTTTATTATGTAAAATATAGTAAAATATAAAACATAAAAAAATTTGAAGAGTGGAAAGAAAATACAAACATTACTACAACAGGACCCCATGTTATTTCTTACGGTTATATTCTACAGTGGTTCTGAAGTTTCTGGCAGAAAAGATGAAAACTATATAGTTTATATATAGTTCTTATGGTCACAGAAAAGAAAAAAAATTCTGTGCCTTCTGAGATCAAGTTTTTTTTTTCTCTCTGCTCAATTTCATGTTGTTGGTTCTTCCTATGACTATTGCTGAGAGAGGAACATGAAATAAACAACAAAAATATAAGCATAAAACAATAACAGTAACAAAAACAATAAAGGGGCACTGGTTCTGTGGAAGGCTAAGGTCATAAATTTGACACATATTCATTGCTGGGATGATTCATTTTTCCAAGTCACATTGTAAGACATTCAACTATTGTGTCTTGAGGAAGTAAGTTTTTGACCAACACTTGGCAATTTTTAAAGCACGCAATAGGACTGCTTAATAAATACTGAGGTGAGCTTTCAAAGTGTTTCCTGGATTGTATCTTCTGGATTGTGAGTGCTGTATTTTTGAAAGCTGCCTTTATATAATTTGGTATTTCTTTGTACTTATTCTGATTCAGTATTGACTGAGTTTTAAGCTTTTCTGAGCTCCCCCCTATCTGTCAGTTGAAGATGATTGCCTCCATTTCTGTGTCTTTCCCTGGGAAATGTATCACTTTTAAAATGCTGCCTGAACCAATTTCTTAGCATTTGGAGGTAGAGTAAAAGTATGCTATAATGAAAAAGGGATCACAGACAACACAATTTCTTTGGCTCAAACAAGAACTTGTGGATTTATAGATTTTAGATGAAGAAAACCAATACATGAAATTTTCTACAGAAAAATTATATCGGTAGCTGTGAACAAATTCAGTTGCTGTTTTGGTAATTCATGGCCAGAAATTACATAAATCTCCCAATTTGACTTTTGG